GCTTTAAACAACGTTGTTTCGGCCCCTTTTTGAGCCCAAAAAAGTTTTACGAGCTGTCTCTATTAAGAGGACAAAGCTTGATTTTTGAAAATGCTCCAATGAAGAAAACATTAAGGCTTTGTTGTATTTTTTGACATGAGCACTGAAGTGAGCATGCGTTGGAGATGCTCTTAGTCCAGTGCCAGTTTCAGTTTAGTTCTTGATCTTATCATACTTTGAATGTCTAAATAAGTATGGAATTCCCAGGCTCAAATATTCTAAACTTACTTGAACTGTTCAATTTCCAGGGTGACATGTCCATGAGTGTTTCTGGAACTGTTGTTATACAATCTCCTAGAGGAACTGAGTCATTGTCACTGCAAAGCTCTGTTGTAGGCATCCATTATAAGTATCTTACTGAAGATATTGAGAGAAGTCAATTGTGTTTTATGTACTGGGCATATGTCTTGTGCAGTCTAGCAGCCAGCGTGCTTCTCTGGAAGAGGCCTTATCTAGTGGAACTGTTGTAGTACGTGGCCAAAATGATGGTTCTGATTCTCCTAGAACTCCAAAATCCAGGGTAGGTATACTTGAGAGAAATTCAAACGCCTCACTTGAAGACAGTGCAGCAAGCCTTGCAGAGGTTGTTGATATGTATTTTACTTATTACTTTTTGGATTGCTTTCTTAATTCGTGATGAATAATTTTGCAATTTCTTGTCTGGTTTTGGATCATGATTGAAATTGACTACTCAACATGTGTTCGACTGACAGCTCAAATTTTCTGGATTCTTCCCAAATTCAAAAATTACATGAGCCTTTTTTTTTTTTTCTTATGTCTGAAATTTCCCCTAAAGTTTCATCCATAAAGACAGTATTCTGGATCATCAAATTCCTTTTCAAGTTGTTCAGCTTGATTACCCTAAATTCGATTTCCTTTTCAAAGGTTTCCCTTGAAATTTGATTTTATTGTAGGCCTGTTGATCCAGAACTGTTAACATGCTTGGTGTCGAAAAAGCTTATCTTTTGGCTGATGATGCAAGCAAAGGCTGCAGTGCGAGCAGGATTGAGAAAAGGAAATGCGAGAGAAAGGTCTGCATTGGGTATGATAGATATTTCTGCTCAGGAAAGTCAAAGAGGAGACGAAATGGCTAACAGCTCTGATTCTTCTAGGTAAATACAATTACAGATTTGTTCATTTATTTCTATATTGCAGAATTTTATTTATTATCAGAAAATAAAGAGGATAAAGGTTTTGGTTATTAGTCTCTCAAGCAAAACAATTCTATCCCAGAGATTCACTTGAATATTTTGATCCTCAAAGAGCATTTACAAGATCATGTCAAGCAAGCCACAATGACGAAAGGGCAAAGATAGCATCATCATCTGCACCACTGTCAATGTTGCTTATTCCTTCTTTAAAAGAGGTCTGCACAAAATGGTGTTATATTTTTAGTTTCACTTTCACCATGCTATTTAGTATGGAGATGATTTTGACTTTTTTTGCACTAAAAGCATCATTTGTTTCCGGGCAAATGTATGAACCTGGATCTACTCATGATAGAGAAATCTATGGTATTCAATGCATAGAACTTAACATTGGTCTATATTTCTTATCCATCCAGATTAGTATATTTTTATAGTAAGAGAAAGACTGCTCAATGTAATGATGGGAGTACATAGTAGCCAAGAATATTATCTGAAAGGGTTTCAACATCTCCAGTGTGGATCTAGCCGTGTACTGAGAGAAGAGTGACGTGTTAAAGTAGCAAAAAATGAGGGGAAGTCCGAAATAAGAATTGCAAAAGTTATTGTAATTGAAGTTATTGCCTGTGCTCAACATGAAGTGGAATTATGCAAGTGTTCATGTTGTCATTTAGTTCAGATTAAGACTCAGTTTATATGAACACTGCTTCCATCCATTTTATTTTTAACCTCATCTGCTAATGACCCCTAGGCAGGCATTACTCTTTGTATCCTGTAACTCTTAATGGTTTCAGTATATCATGTTGTCACTGTAGGCCCTTGCTGATGATTTGGAAGGGTTAGTTGTGCGTGCAGTTACAAATTCTCTTGTGAATATGGAGCATAAAAGCCCTGGATCTTGTGAAGCTCTTGTTCGCAAGTTGCTTGAGAGATTGGCAAGGTTAGAAACTTTTCAGTAGCCCAAAAAAGAAATAATTCATTCACTTTTTTTTTCATCTCAAGTCAACGAAACTCAAGCTGGATAAGTTTGTGCAGTTCAAAAGAATCTTCATTGAAAGAAATGCAAGAGATGGCGATTCGCATGTTCATTAAGGGCAAGACAACATCCGAAGCTGGAAATAGAAGGCAACAACAGAAGGAACTTCATACAAGCTCCAACATTATCCCGCTTGCAAGATTTCTACTTTCCAGGTAGGTTGGGTGATTGCTCCCTTCCAGCAACGAATTCTTTGATTTTTACAATCAGTGGAGTCCTCAAGTCCTTCCTTTGAAATGTCTTCATATTGAAACTGGCTGTTGTTGCTGTTTCAGATGGCAAACCCAAGTTTCTAATGATCTCAATCCAGCATAATGAGGAAGAGGTGGAAATGATTACATTACATCGTTATTTTATAGTGTGCTTTCTATTTATGCATTTACTCCGCTTCAATGTACATAACATGGTAAGAAAATGGTGTATTTATCATCCATTATTCATTGTTTTTCTGTTTTGAAGTTTTGTTTTGCATTTTGATGTATAATTAAGATTTTGCTAATATGCATTACAGATGTAATCTTTATAAGAATAATAATAATGAAGAATTATAGTTGGTGATGTAGGCAGAGTCTGATAACGTAATTTTGACATTAGGGTTCATGTAAGAATTGAGAGAGGACAACAAATAGACAGGAAGGCTAAACTAGTACTAACATTGAGTCCCTGAGATAAGAGACACAAGTTGTTTGAGTTTGCTCTTCACTTTTGTCATTTTTCAGAGGAGTATGTGAAGGATGAACAAAAAAAAAAGGGAGAGAGAAATCCAATTCCTTTTGAACTACCACCATTCATATATAAAAGCAAAACTCTAACGCATAAATGACTGAAAAATATATGATACAATGAACTACCAAATTAAAGATGTAAACATATATACATGAGGCAAACCTATAGATTTACTAATCTTGGAGAACAGTTGGAAGTGAGAAAAGCTATAGATTGGGGGGAAGATGTGGCTAACAGGGATTTCCTTTTGGAATCAAATTGTCCACAGGTTGTACAAAAATGACTGTCTCAACAAAAGAAGAGAAATTTTCCGCAAAGGAGAAAGTAACCTCTTTGAGGGAAATTCACGCTTTTTACTCCCTAGCCACCGAAGGGGAGAGAGGCAATGGCTAGGGAGAAAGGCAAAAGAAAAGAAGGTAGCGGCTATGGGAAAAGAAAGAGAGAGGCGTTAGGGTATTGTTCAGGGTTTTACTTATATTTTTTAAAAAAATGGTAAAATAAAAATAAATATATTAAATAACATCTAATATAAACACCTCAAATTAAAAATTAATTTTACCAAAGTTAAACAAAAAAAATATAATACACTGAATCATCAAAATTAAAAGAAATTAATGCACACATGTTTTTGAAATATATATAAGAAGCTCAAGTACTGATTTAAGAAAGGATAACAAAAAAGACACATACAAATTTACACACAGGAATCAAACTTTCCGATCCAATTGAGAATCACCACTTGTCTCTTTCATCATCATCAACAGCACAATGAATCACAACATTTGTCTCTTCATCATCATTAATAGCTATTGAATCACAACATTTATCTTTTCATCATCATCAACAGAACATTGAGTCTCACTTGTCCCTTCACCATCATCAACAGGATATTGAGTCCCTTGTTCATAACAAACAGCAGCTCTATCAGTTTCAAATTGAGTTCCTAGGCCGAAATGATTCATCAACAACCAAACGATGGTGATGAGTTGTCCACCCATGCTTGGTTGTTGTGCATGCCAATTTGACCTACAATTAATAGCAGCATAGCACATTAATTCAACCCAGACTTTGCTTATTAAGTCCCACCGAATGTCTTCGTTTAATCCCTGCAGTCCATTGAATAGCTGTTGGGCAAAATACAAAACAGAACGCGGTGCAGGATTAGAAGGCTCAACTACTATTTTGCGTGCTGCAATTTTTTCGAAGACATTTTTTTTGTTGATGGCATCTTCTTTGTCGCTGGCATCTTCTTTGTCGCAGAAAGATAGGATATGTTCATATGTGTCGTCAAAAACCATTCTCCGATCAATTTTGGAGCCTATAACAGCCTCCTCACGTAGAAGGTAAAACATATAATCTGAAAGCAGCTTGGATATTTCTCGGTAGTCCCTTCTCTCAGGCGATGATGTAGGATTCTCAGACGATGACGTAGGCGGATTCTGAAACGATGATGTAGGCGGATTCTGAGACGATGATGCAGGATTCTGAGACGATGATGTAGGCGAATTCTGAGACGATGATGTAGAACTTTTGACATGAAGACAGCATAATTCGGTGGCTATGTGCCATGTTAGAAGGGTTTTCACATCATCTAAATCCCTTAACTCCTCGTTGTTGATGTGGCCAGCAAGAATTTGATCACCTCTTCTTAGACAAACTTCCTTTCCCTCTTTCACGGTTTCTGCAGACCCAGCCTTTCCTTTCACTTGTTCAAAAATGAAGTTCCACAGTTTGTCCTCTTCAAAATCTTTTGATGACATACTTCGGAATCCTTGAATAAACTCCAAAATAAACCTTATGTGAAGAGATTCATGCAACTTGTTCAACCAATCTGGACAGGCTTTAACAACATAGGTTGAAAGGTTGAGCTGGGGGATTCTTTCGGACCACATGCTCTTGTTGCTCACTCTTTCTTTAATCCAGGTCATAAGTTTTTGTTTATTCTGATTTGCATCCCAATCGTAGTCATCTGTCTTAACGTAATCGGAGGAACGAAGCAAACTGATCGTTATGAAATTCAACGTTATGGCCCCAATCAACAAACCATAGGTTATCCAGACTTCAGAATTTTCCAACTCATCACGGTACTGCTTGTCCTTGGTAATTAATATGAATGACAACAAGGCTCCGGAAATGCAACCCATACAAATGATCTGGAAAATGCGCCCACTCTTGCATTTAACCACGGGCAACTTGGTGTGAAGAATCTCATACAAGAGGCTTAGCTGAAACTCGATCATCTCAAGGATCCATTTTGCCATTTCCTCGACCGTTTCCTCGGCCGTTTCCTCGACCGTTTCCTCGGCCGTTTCCTCGGCCGTTTCCTCGGCCGTTTCCTCGACAATTTCCTGGGCCGTTTCCTCGACCGTTTCCTGGGCCGTTTCCTCGGCCGTTTCCTCGACAATTTCCTGGGCCGTTTCCTCGACCGTTTCCTGGGCCGTTTCCT